GTGATGATGATAGATCATATTCACATAACACGAAAACTGATGTTAGTTACCACGATTGTTTTGCAATGTTCTTAGTAGACAACTCTAAGTTTGACAATGACCTTGCATCACGTATCTAATTTTCTGACATGTAGCGACACTTGATTTGAAACTGTACATACTGTACCTCGGTTTCCCTATACAATAATCCTCAGAAAATATTAGGTATACGTATACCCATACTTTATATTATTTTTGATAACTGGATTCGCTTCCTTTGTGCAGACTTCGTAAGCAACAGTTTCACTGAGCACGCAAATAGTATTCTAAGTCCAAAATTCGCGTTGCTTAGTCATAGATCAGTCACATCAGGGTTCGTGACCTTTCTAGGCTATTAAGCAAGTATGACGCAGTAGACGAGACAATCTTTGCTAATTTAGTTTTCATACAAGTTATTCAAACAAATACCTAAAGAATAACTAGGTGGACCGACGATCTAGGGTCGCGGGAAGCACCTAGATGCGGGCAGCGTAGGACCGGTTTTTGTGACAATCTTTGGGGAAGTTTGTCCAACAGTGGATGTTATTTGGCTGAAACGAACAAACTTAATAAATAAAGCATTTTTTGAGAATATAACGATATTTTAATAATGTATACTTACTTTATACAACTGTCTATTATACTGCATGGTAATGACTTTTGGTTTAGTAGGTAAGGACTCTTGACCGACATGAGGTCCTGTGTGGTATGTTTTTTAATTCATCATCATCATCATTTCAGCCATAGGACGTCCACTGCTGAACATAGGCCTCCCCCAATGCTTTCCATGTTGATCGATTGGTAGCGGCCTGCGTCCAGCGCTTCCCTGCTACCTTTATGATGTCGTCGGTTCACCTTGTGGTTTTAATTATCGCACTTTAAAGCAATTTTTTAACTACAGGGTTTTATGAAAATGCTGGCGCTTATAATACTCGTATAATCAAGTGCGTAGATACGCAAAATTTCCGTGCTGTTTAAGGTTTATAAAGTGCCTACATACTCATGTAATCTGGTTAGAATCAGCTTACTAAAGGTTGCATTCCGAAAGCGGTACAAAGGTCAGCACATTGACTGAAGATCCCTTGAGGTTGGGCCTCACTTATTATAATATCATCTAAATACAATAATGAGAATGTCGTGATTGTTCCATAGACTTGCCCTCCCATCTAAGTTGCGTTTGACTTGCCATAGAACGTCACAGTTTCTTCTATGTGACTGATGGGCCAAGTAGTAAAATATACATAGTCAGTTCAATTGACTTCTTACATTATTGTGGATAAATGTAATTTTAAGCTTCATCTTAGAACCTATACTATAATATTATAAAGCTGAAGAGTATGTTTGTTACTTTGCTTAAACGAATCTCAGGAACTTACTGGTCTTATTTAAAAAGTTATATCGATNAGATCGATAGAGAATTAAATTCTGAGTAAAACTGTATAAATAACTCATTTTCGGTATTTTGTCCTTTACGACCTTTGAGCCCAGAGGTATCGATATTTGTGTTGAATAGCCCATTTATAGAGGAAGCCACGGGCACAGGTAGTGTAAGTTATAATAGTGCTACAACTACGAGTATGCAACGGTATACAAAAGTCTTACATTAACTAGGCATACATTTAATTTTGCAGTGAAACCCGAAATAACAAAGCCAGTATTCATCAGAATAAAATTGTATTTTTGTATACTGCGCCATTTTCTTCAGGATATACAGGAGTTTATTGGGCATATTATTGTACAGATCGATTTCGGTGTATAGATAATTGAGACTAATGACCATCGAAATGAGAGCAGTAGCCTAGTGGACGTTATAACGGCCAATCAATAACCTACTCAAGGCTTAACTCCGTATTTGCCCGCCCACCGCGTTTCCTTAAAAGCAGTTCTAATTATTGCCTAGGTTTTTGCTTTTTAAGTTCTTTGTTATCAAATCCGTGTGCGTTGTAAGATTTTTAATAAATATTTTATCTTTTCCTCTATCCTTCCAAATATAGGGTGTCGATCAGGAGTTTGTTCAGGAGGAAAATCATACATACGAGTACCTACATACAAAATTGCTGCATGTACGATTAGTTTGCAGGACCTAAAAGACTGTTTGCTTCATTGAAACGCCTGAAAGGATTTCCTGAATCATAATTTGTGAAGAATTGAAGAAAACTCGAACAAGCAAAAGCTAAATTCGAAACATTTGTTTTTGCGTTTAACTTAGAGTAGGCGCACACCGTTGATTTTTAGTTGGCCGATAGTTGTGCCCGATTTTAATTTGTATGAAGAATCGGCCAAATCGAATCGGCGTAGTGTGCGCAATCCCATACATGCCCATACTGATCAACTGCCCCTCACCGACCCCAAGGCGTACCGACCAATTACGCTTCTCTCGATCTTGGGTAAGCTGCTTGAGCGTGTAATGTTACACTGCGCGCCTCAGATCTCTAGCGGGATGTCGGACTGCCAGCATGGCTTCACCAGAGGTAAGTCGACAGTGACAGCGATCGACGCGATTACCGACACGGCCAGGGCGTCCACAGCGAAGTACGTCCAAGCTGTCTTTCTTGACATCTCGGGTGCGTTCGACAACGCCTGGTGGCCGATGGTGATGCTGAAGGCGAAAAGAGGAGGATGCCCGCCCAATGTCTATCGGATGTTGGCGGGATACTTCTCCGGACGCCGGGTTGGCTTAACCGTCGGCAGCCGGGAGTTGTGGAAAGTTTCCACCATGGGGTGTCCGCAGGGTTCTGTGCTTGGACCAACGTTGTGGAACGTTCTGTTGGACGACCTGTTGAGATCGCCGATGCCGGAGGGGGTGAGCATGGTGGCGTACGCCGATGACGTCACCATTTTGATTGAGGCGCAATCGAGAGCCAGCATCGAGTTGAAGGCCACAGAGGCCCTTAATATCGCGTCCGATTGGGGAGCCCGGAACCGACTGGGATTCTCTCCTGCCAAGTCGTCCATGATGACAATCAGGGGGAAATTCCAGAGGCCCCCAATCATCAAACTTGATGGCGCCTCGATCCGACAGGTGAGCTCAGGAACAGTGCTCGGCGTGGTGATCGATTCGGGTCTTCTGTTCACGCAGCATGCACAGGACATTGTAGAGCGCGCAGCCAAATGCTTCGGGAAGGTTTCGCGTGTGTCTGCGTCCTCCTGGGGCATTCGATACCCCGGTCTGCGCATTCTCTACCAGGGAACGTTCGTTGCCACGCTTGTGTATGCTGCGGCGTGTTGGTTTGAGCGGGTCAAAGTCCAGTCGGTGGGCGGGATTGTCCTGAGGGGGCAGAGGCCGGCACTCGTGCTGCTGACGAAGGCCTACCGGTCTGTCAGCACGGCCGCGCTCCCGGTCTTGGCCGGAGTGTTGCCCGCCGACCTCGAGGTGGAGTATGCTGGACGGACGGCTGTACTGAGGACGCGCCAGCTCGCGACCCTGGACGAGATGAGCAGTCGAAAACGCGATATACGGGATTCGGTGATCGTATTTTGGCAGCAGCGTTGGGAGCAGGAGACCAAAGGTCGTGAGCTCTATCAGTTCTTCCCGGAGGTGGCTGGTAGGCTCAGCATGCGCTGGGTCCAACCGGACTATGTGACCTCGCAGATACTCACTGGACACGGGTGCTTCAATAAAAGGCTGAGCGACATGAAGCTGCGAGAGGGGAGTATGTGTGAGTGCGGCGAGAGTGAGGAGGACAGGCACCACGTTCTGTGGTACTGTCCCCTGTATGAAGACCTGCGGTGTGAGATGCTGAGTGGGATAGCGCTCTCGGAGGGCTACGGTCCTGCGTGGTACCCCGATCTAGTCAGCTCGGAGGCGAACTTCGCGCGGCTGCGATGTTTCGCGCACGCGTGGCACAGAAGGCGGAACGGACAGACGCCTAGCGGCCAGGCACCGGATGGTGCCAACGTGATAGTGGAGTCCATGCCCCAGAAGGGGGAGAGTGGCAAGGGACAAATGGACAAGATTAAAGAACTTGTAGAGAGTAAAAAATTGCGCGCGGTGGAGTGCAATCTGCCGTAGGCAGCCGCAATTCCGCGCGCATCTCTCAAGATTCGGCCACAATAACCGCGAGGTTGGTATGGCCATGGGTGGTGGTGGGATTTGATCAACTGCCCGACTAAACTATCGGCCGACGAAAAATCAACGGTGTGCGCCTACTCTTATAGTGTACGAAAATTGTTTTTTATCAGCCAGTAGCTATGGCGGATAGTGCTTATTTCTCTTATCAGCTGTGGCCTGGAGAAAACGCCCTAAATTGAGATACGTTTGCCAATAACGGCAGCGGCCTTGCTTTCGAAAAATACTGCATCCCATGCACCATGTTCATAGTGCATATTTTACACTATCACGTTGTCTGTAATACATTGACGATTGGACAAAGCAATTGATCGGTTCGGATCAGACCAAAGTGTCAATTGATCGGGTAGTACATTGAAAGTCGTGTGGTATCAAGTGATTGGTAGTTTTCCTTGTGGTCGCTAGTGTTTATTTTAAAGCCTAACTGATTTGTTCGACGTCAGTGTCGTAACGCATTCAATAGCACGTTATGTGACGTAATTGAACCACCTAGCGAAGTAAAAGGAATTGTTGTGTTTGACATATTTGTACAATATCAATGACCAAGCCTTGTATTTTACTTGTGACAAATACGAGCCAATGATAGAGTTGAGACAATGAAAATATACCATTACGCTTTATTTAGGTACTTCACAACAAAAAAAAAGTTGATCATGAGTTTATCATCCTGCACTGCTACGAGTAGAACATGGTAATCTAGCTGAGAAGTCAATATTGAGGACAATCACAATATTCATTTATAAAAGTATAATACTTGAATAAAATACTTGCATATAACATCTTATGTGATTTTATTGTGTGGGCGAGCGACTGCATAACACTGATAAAAGTAAACTTCCAATTAAACCTTATTTATGAAGCTATAATCAATAAACTTTCTAAAATAAAACAAAGCAGTTAATTAATGTATAATTTATTTTTATAATATTTACAATATCATAAAACACTCTTACGTTTGTACTGGTTACAACTACACTTAAACTATTTACAAGGAAGATGTAATTATTTGTTACAATGAACTGGGCAGACGTTGTGTAGACCGCCGTCAAGTAATACGAAACGGCTGTACGAGCAGTAGTGCCGAGAGCTGTTATAAAAGACGAGCCGAAGATCGGGCTCAGTAGCAAGCCTTGGGAGGGGCCGAAACGTGTACTTACGAGGACTGATGATGGCAATGGTGATGGAAACGACGATGACGGCGGCAAAGATGGCGATGACAACAGCGACGACGGTAATGATGAAGATGAAATCAGAAATAAATGAAGAGCGTTGAATAAATAGGAACATAAGAACATTCAAGTAAATGAATGAGGCATTCGTTGACTGGGTGACTAACTGGAGAATGATAAATGCGAATTTGAACGCATTACTAGTCAGTGACAATTTAAAGACCTCTCAAAAGGTTAAATGTGAACTAACTTGTTCCGACTTGGAAGAGTCACCCAGTGAAATAGATTGAGATTGTCATAGGAATATAAGTCTCAATGACAGTGCATTCAGACGACACAAAATGCTACGACGGAAATGCAGTCCATATGAACGTTAAATGTACCGACGACAGCACATCAAGCTACTGATTTATGGATTCTTACACAGCTGTTTAGCCGGATAATCACGAAAGCGAAGAAGAGACTGGAGGAGTGTGTTGATGAGATTTCGTAATTTCCAGATCACCTCTCCAATCAGTTTTAGTTCCAAAACAATATATCCCATATCGTCTCGTCTCCTCTCCGCTTCGGAAACTGGGCCATAAGCAGTATAGTTCTTGCAACTGACGAAGGCGAGTGAGCTTTACTTATGTAGTGGGCGAATGAGCTTAAGTTAAAATTTTATTTACATTTTTTTGTAATTGCTTTCATGTGTACTACCACCCCTGACATGGGGGTTGTTTTACAAAACCACACCCTGTATTTTATATTCAAAATGTAAAGAGTGATATGCTGTCGACGGTAGGATATCTTAAACAGTAAACAAATGACGGATGTATCATGTGGCGTAGGCCCCTCTGTACCTGTGGTCCAGGCTGCCGTACGTGGGCCGGTACCGCGGGGTCCTCTGGGTCCAGGGGCTCCTTCGGTTCTTGTAGCTGGAGCAGGCGATCAGACTGTTCATGCCTGGAGGCCTGGACTGTTCCATGCTGATGCCGCAGCGACGGCTGGAAATCAACAGGGTATAAGTGTTAGAAATGAAAGGATTAACGCTAAATTCGATCTCATTTATCTAAATGAGTATGGGGAGTCAGAAAGAATATTCCTACGGGACTATCGAACTTTTAGCTGTTGAGAGCCTTTTAACATACTTACAATGTGTTGTATATCGCTGTATTATTTGGAAAATCAATCTTGTATCTACTTGTGAATAAGTGGGTTTCACTTTATCACCATGTGTGAGTAAGAATTACTTAAACATAATGTACCTACTAGCAAAATGGAAAAACGACTCTACCCGTCCGAAAAAGTGAAAAAATTCTTTATTGATCAAACACGAAAAAGTACCAATCAATCAAACGTTTTTCATTATGTTGCAATTGACTTCAGCGTAATTTGTGGTGTATTCTGTCAAGTGGTTGATAATTTTCATGGAACCTCACCTCTTAGTCCTGACCGGCGGTGGCAGGAACTTGTCTCCCACCAGCACACTCTCATCCAGGGTCCCGTCAAGCTGTAGGAGGTCGCCGGCAGACACCGACACGTCCATCTTGGATGACATGTCGCAAGTCCATAGGAACAGGCAAACTACCACCATCTGGAAATGGGATTTATGTTGTTTAAGACAAGAGGTTTATGCCCGTTTTCACCATCAATCCCTAATTTTTAAATGACCCCTATGGTAACACTTAACAGGAATTTTGTTTTCAAAAGGGTCACTTAAAAATTAGAGATTGATGGTAAAAATTGGCATTAGTCAGGATAATCAGTTAACCTGTGATATGTTTACCTACATTTATTCGGTGGCTAGAAGCAGTTGGAAAAGAATTGGCTTAGCAATATGGCTTGTCCAGAAGGAACTTTTACTGCGTTGACTGTTTTAAAGTTATACTAGGTACATGCTACTTGTGCATTTAGCACAATAAAATGGACGAGTACGAGTACAGTCGATAGTATGTATATCAAGCTAAACACTTTGGGTTCTTATGAGCTTGGAACAGTGTGCTTACTTACCATGAGTTTACGTTAGGTGAGCTCGCTAGCGAATACGTCAAAAAATTCTATGAAGATTTTATTGCTTGAAAGTAGCCTCTAGGGGCGCTGCACAATATGTCATACATTTAAATGTCATTTTTTTACGCAGTCGCTAGCGAGCACACCTAACGTAAACTCATGGTAAGCACACAGGTGCTATTTTACAACAAAAGTGTGTAGTCTGATAGTAAAATAGACAAATGAATAGTTGAAATACCAACACAACGTTGTTACTTCTGTGTGAAATTGCTATTATCTGTGTGTAGGACAAACCCAAAATGGAAGATATAAAACTATTTTTATTGTTACCACAAAGAGATGCAGAATAAACACGAAGACAGTTGAGCTCTGGAATCCTATGTAGTCATATAGCACCCCGGACACGGTGGGCCCGATGAAGGCGCCGAGGGCGAACGTGGATGTCCACATCCCGGACACCAGGCCGTAAGTCTCTATAGAGTTTGGAAGGCCACTCGCTCTGAAAATTCAAGAAAACTTTCATTGGTCTTTGAATTACGAATGATTTATTAGTCGTATTATTTTATAGAAGCTTATTAAAAAAATAACAATTTGGGATTTGGCAGAAGTTTTTAAATGCATTATAGGATTATTCATCTAGCTAGAGAAACATCTGCACAGTGCACATATTTTACGTAAATGCTGAAAAAAGTTCCAGGTTAGATAAGGATTTTTAAAATAAAACTATTGCCTTTTCTGTCATACTCCTAGCGATAGATCAACCTACATGCACAGCCACTTAAATTTGCCTTCAGAAATTCACAAGTCTTGAAATATCGTAGAGACAAGAACTGTACAAGAACACTTATTAAGTGTACAAAATTATAATATAGCTTTTGTCCTGGATTGAATTAATAAAATGTTTTGCTTCAGAAGTATTATTATCTCATTTTTAAAATAATAGGTATGTATTATATTATAATATTTTTAAGACTATCACCACTCATCTCATTACATATCTCAGTCCTGTTTCTTATATTTTTTGGAGAATTTTAATGGGCGCCGTGTAAAAAATTACGCAATTCGCAAAAGCTCATTATAATTCGATTAGAGGCCTTTCTTTCGAGTTGCATTCGGCCGTTAGCAGGAATGAATATGAACGCAGTAAGCCCGTTTTCTTTAAAGCGAAGATAATACGTAGGGGGCCGTCCATAAATTACGTCATCGATTTTTTCAGATTTTAGACCCCCCCCCCCTACAATCATCCTAGCGTCATTTCTTAATGACCCCCCCCCCTTCTCCCAAAATTGACGTCATTACCAGTTTGACAAAATTAAAACACTTGTAGAATCACTTTTTATTTTTTTTTAATAGATAGAGTGATTCTTAAGGAAGGTTTATATGTATAATACACGTAAGTACCACGGGCGAAGCCGGGGCGGGCAGCTAGTATTATATGTAATCAGTAGCGGCGGANTAGGGTCTTCATTAAGAATCCTTTACAATCTAGATTAGTAAAGTTTGCAGAGAAAAGCTTTTAAGTGCTGGATCAGCAGAATAGTGTAATTTCTGATCGAATCATTGATAAAAGTAACAATATTTAATAAATAATTAATTTATGTTAATAATTACGCATTTTTGCTATGAATTAAATCAAAAGATTGTTTGAATTAATTAAATTAATATTTGCAAACCGTCAAATGCTGTCAAGAAGCCTTTGCAAATATCTTTTCTTCTCCCTATATAGACGAATAAATTCTAATAATGGACCTTCTGAGCCCTTTTAACCTTTGGTCAAAGAAGCATAATTTGTGCATTTATCGGACGTCTGTAGTTTGCAGACTGAAGCCTATGGTTTCTGTTTTTGGACGCCATGATTTATGGTTTCACTGCACTGTGATTGAGTCACGTCTGGTTTCGGCAGTGTAGTTACAGAATACGTAATGAACCTAATAATTTATACAATCAATCGCTACTTTCTTTTCTCATCTCAGTTTAGTTTCTCACATCTCCGCGTTGAAAGATCATAATAAAATATGTACTGTACAACGATAAGTGTCCAAAATGTGTAACATACTCGTAGTTTCCAAATAAGTCCAATTACGCTCAAGAGGGGAAAACTTGTTAATTTATTGAAAACATCAAGATAGCCAGTTAAACGAAAGTTGAAATGATGTTGATGACGAAAGAAGTAAGAATAGAGATCAGAAATATTGTTTGTTTCTTAGAATACCAATTTCAGGAGCTGAAAGCTGTCTACATAATAAAAGTTTATCTAAGATCCTGTTTGGTATTACATTTGAAGCGCCTTTCACGTCTGACAACAATACAAAGCAAGTCATCGTAATTCGTTAGGTACTTACATAGCAGTGCTAAGAGCGTCGGAGAAGGAAGCCACCAATTGGCTGCCCATTCCCAGGCCATGCAGCACCAGACCTGTCACAGTCATCCACAGTTGCCTGAAATGTGACGCAAAATTCAATATGGAGGTCACAAAGACATTACACAAGATTTAGTATCATGGATGACTACCTACTATGAAATTTCCTATTAGGAGTTAAGGCATTTTAGTACAGATAAAACTTCCTGACTAGGTGCTATGAAAAAATAGTCCTGTAAAATTAATATCTTCATAATCTGAAAAATAACTGAATTTTTCACGGTAATTCTGATTTTTGACAATCTTGTGTTTGGCGCTCTACATCTCTAAAACTTGGATTATTCATTGGGTTGGGCTACCATAATAAACAAAATTTGGAAAAATCAAAACTATGACTTTACAGCTCCCGATTCAAAGACGACTGAGTTTCTTGCGCTGCTTCTTCTCAGCACTGTTCCATCTTGTCCCGAAGCAGTGGTAAGAATAAAGTACGAGTAGTTAATATTTTATTGGTGTAAAGGCGCTTTTTAGAGCCTACTTGCAGAAAATGACTGACTTTTATGACTTTTCAGGCGACCATTTTAAGTAAAAAAATTGTCAAACTCCGTACAAAAATTATCATCAAAGTTACGGTCAAAGAGCTGGTGCAACTCAGCCTAAAAGTTTATGGCAAAAACTTACGATTCATTGCCAATAAAAGGCGCCGGTCCGATCAGCATGAACCCAGCAGCGACGAAGGCGCAGCCGATGGCGGTGACGTACTTCGGCTTGAAGAAGGGCCGGTCGCACAGCCAGCCCCAGCAGGGAGCCGAACCCGCGTACACGCCGCCGTTAATCACGAACATCAGCCCCAAAACCGCGGGGGAGAAGTGGAACTGTGGGGAGAAAATTTCAAATCAAATCAAATCAACTGGGAGCCATGTCTTTAAAACCAAATTACGTCACACGGTAAGAGAGGTTGATCAAATGTGGTGTGACAAGGGGTGGAGGGTTTTTTTGATTATCATGGTGTCACATTTCAAAATTAAATGATCTTTTACGAAAGTTGGGTTTCGGGAAACTTTAGTTTTTGATTTTTTTTGACCCCAAGGAAATAAAAAAAAATTTAAAAGTTAAAAAACTTTCACTCTCTATGTAGGAACATCAGTTGTTAGTACATGATAGGTTCGTAGACTTTATTGCTTTTAGCGTTTTAAGCTTCTTAAAGGTACACAATGGTTACCACCAACACTATACGAGTAGGTACTACCGCCTTGCTAGAAACCCGGGCGAAAGTCATATGACCCTTTTTGAATTCAGGTTTAGATAATTCTCAAACTATTGATTTTTTCTTTGACAAATGGTTCTAATGACTAACAAGAGGTAAATGGATCATACCGGTCTCAGATGTGGCTCAAGAGTTGCCTGCAGGAAACCGATGCTCATACTCGTGCAGATGATACTGATTGCCGCTATGAACACGCCAGGGACCTTTAGCAGCGATATCATGGTTGCTGTAAAGTACAATAAATATTTGAGTAAGGTAATTTCGAGTGACTTTATTACACAAAATAATTGGAACTCGAAAATAAAAGGAGGTAGGGTAATACACCGTTTTTGACCACTCTACAATTTACCGGTTTAACCAATAAATAAGTAAAGCATCATAAAATTACAAACTATATTTAAATATTGATCTTCAGTTTTAATTATTTAAATTTTACAGTATTTGTATCTTATTTCACCTTCTTTTAAGTGGCCACAAAGGTACAGTGGCCACAAACGAGGTCTCTACTCTTTGATAAATAATATCAAATTCCAAGGTTGGTTTCGTGTTTGTGATTTGTTATCATCATTTACGGTTAATTTACCAAGTTTATTTTCTAAAACACTTTATAACTTTTTGAAAGATGAAAAAATAAATTAATGTGTGCCTATGTTCAGCAGTGGACGTCCTATGGCTGAAATGATGATGTTGATGATGAAAAATAATCTACACTCACGTCCTCCTGTAGGCTTGACATCTTCATCGTCGTTGCCCCTCGGCAGAACGAGGCAGCTCATCAGCGCAGCACAGAAGAGCGCAGAGCCCAATACTGCGAACGGCAGCGTGTAGCCTCCCAGGCCATACAGAGCTCCTCCAAGTGTAGGCCCGACTATCAGGCCTAGCCCGAAGAACGTTTCTAATGACGCCTGAAAATATTTTACTAATGAGAAAACTGTCATTAAAAACCTTGTTTAATAATATTGAAATTGAACGAAAGATACAGGCGCAAACAAAATTAATAGAGTCACTTTATATAGTATTCAAAGTGCCTTTAACTATACTGAGTAGAGCATATAAGGTTAAATACTTAAACCTACGCGTAAATAAACCTACTCAGTCCACATAAATAATTTCTAAAGAATCCTTTAAAAAGGGAATTGAAGGCTATTGTTTTTATACATTACAGTGAACACCACTGGCGAGTGGACGACATGACCTTACTCTGCAGTGGCGCCATCCTGTGAGTGCAAATGCGATAGTTTTCCTTTCCCTTTAACACTGGTGTCACTTTCTTAGTTACTAGTAAGTGGACTGTAGAAGACCTTACTCCACAGTGTCGCAAACTAATGAGCGTTAAAACGATAGCCCCCATTGTTTACATTCATGCAACATTGCGTGCAAATCCCAAGCAGGCGTACTCACAAACATGGTGGCCACGTTGTTTGGGAACTCCTTGGCGATGATGGCGAAGGATGCTGTGAGGAAGGCAGCATTTCCCATGGCCTCCACGATGCGGATCACGAAGCTCAGCGTGATGAACGGGATATGACCCTCGACTTTATCTAGTAAACTGAAGTAGAGTCTTGTTAGAACTAAGAATACCGCTCTCACAGTAGCGGCACACCTACTGTGCCGCTACTGTGAGAGAATTCCATCATCATTTCAGCCACAGGACAGCCACATAGACATCCTTCGAAGATTTCCACATCCCCCGGTTGGTAGCTGCCTGCATCTAGCGCCTTCCTGCTACCTTTAAGAGGTCGTCGACGGTCCACCTTGAGGGTGGACATCTCATGCTCCGGAATAGGCCTTCACTCCAGAACCTTGCTGCCACATCATTGTCCACAGAAAGAATTTATGTCTCAAACCAGTGGAGTGGTCAGGAGTTGTATTTTAAAATAAATAGAATCCCATTTCACATCTAGAATTGTGAAATTCATATGCGAATTACAATAAATTCTTATGGTTTAAGAATATGCCTTCTGAAATGACCCACGACCCACGACAGTCTTGTGCAAAAGACCGCGGCAAGGTCAAAATTTGCAAATTCGTTTCGTTTAGGGTCGTTGCGATATCGTGACGTAATAACTCTATTATTTATGGTCCGTTACTGTTTGTCGAATTACGTGCCAAAGTGTGAATGATTTTATTAGATAAGCAGCAAGGATCCACGTTTCACGGTTAAACTACTATTACGGATGATTATTTATGCCATAAGTAGTTAAACTAGTTAAATAATAAACGTCATATTAGAAGAATCATTTTAAATCCTTCTTCCGCGGCTAAAAGAATGGCACATAAACATCGTATTCGTATAGTTGTATTTATACCTACTGAACACCTACTAGGTAGGCCAACTGTGAAGTTTCATCAAAACCCGTGTAGTAGTTTTAACGTGAAATAGTAACAAACTTCTATCCATGTGTCCTTACAAACTCTCACATTTCTTATAAGTTGGATAAGATTAAATTACTATTTATAATGATTGGCTAATTTATAACGATAAAGTTTCCAATAAGTCGGTCTTTCTGTGATAAACTGAATTTAACGCAAAGGAACTGCGGGAAAAAGCTCGTACGCCAAGAGCTTTCCCGTAAAAAACACTGGGAAACATTTTTGGTTGATGCTTACACAAAAAAGTGACTTCCAAACTCAGTGTTAACCCATAACCAAATCAAGTTTAATTTTCACAACATTTATTCGTCATGAACAAAGTTTGAAATTTCCAAGTATTTTTTTTTGTGTAAGCAGTAACCAAACTAGTTATTTCAGTGAAGAACCTTACCCAAAGAGTATAGCACAAGTGCCAGTAGTAAGAATGCCCCCATTAAAGAGCAGCTTGGGCCCGATCCGGTTGAGGTGCGCCCCGTACAGAGGGCTGACCAGGAACACCACCAGCTCGAAAATACCGAACACCAAGCCGTATTCTGTTGCTGAACATCCTTTTCTTTCTGCCTGGGAACATAGTTGCATTCTAAGGCTGGGTTGCACAGTCTTACATTAACTTTAACAAACGCCATAAATCTGTCAAGGTCCATAGAAAAAGCACCGGCTATCGTCATAGTTACTGTTAAAGAAAGGTGGTGCAACTCAGCCTAAGTCTAGAACAGTGAAATTAATTTAAAGAAACATAAGAAAGTTAATTAATTAAATGAAGAAAATATTCATGAAGTTTTTAACTGTGTCAATACTTGGCTGTAAGTAGGTACATAATATTATTCTCAAGCCAGTAACATACTTATTCCTACACTTTTATTTCCTACACTTCTTTTGATATTTTATCATTATTATTGAGACTGACCGACTCGTGATACGAGGAGCGCAGGTTCAAACCCCGCTGCCGCTTGAATATTGTGGTAAATTAAGTAAGACACTCCCCAGCTTATAGTTGAATAACGATTCGCGAAAATTCGTTAGCAGAAGCTTTATGCGACAAACTGACGACAAGGTAAAATGTTCGCCAATGCGAAGACTTAGATTGGTAGGCTGATTGTGATGATGTTGACTTGGCCCGTACTCTATGCTTCAATCATCAAATTCTTTATTAAATACTAGCTTTCCGGCCGCGGCTTCGCCCGGGTGTGTGTGGTTCCGATGTCCTTTCCCGGGTCTCAAGCTATCTCTATGCTAAACTTAATCAAAATCGGTTCAGTGGTTTAAGCATGAAAGTGAGACAAACAGACAGACAGACAGAGTTACTTTCGCATGTATAATATTAGTATAGATTTTGATGAACGACACACTAAGGCCTTAGGTATAACAAAAAAGTTAAACTTGGGATGAACACGTGCTTAAAATGACATTTCCATACTTAGGCTGAGTTGTACCACCAAACTATGACCGTGACTACGTGTATAACGATAACCGGTGTTTTTTGTATGAAGTTAGTCAGATTTTTGACGTTTGTTAAAGTAAGATGGCGCAGCCCAGCCTTAGACTGAGTTGCACTAACTTACTTTAACAGTAACTGTAACGACAACCGGTGTTTTTTGTATGGAGTTTGACTGATTTTTGTCAATTTATACCAGAGTTCAAACAGACAGAGTAACTTTTTGTAATAAGGGGGTAAGGGCCTAAAACTTGTTCACACGATAGCAGAGGTTATCGCTCGGCCCACAGTCAACGACGTGATGCTTCGTGTAATTGATACTCGTATCTACAGTGATTGTCGCTAACGATACTTGCGGCAGCGTGTCTATGCTTTGGGGATTTTGTAGGCATTAACTGATAATTGCGACCTATTGATCAGGCGTAGGTATCTCTTAGGGCGTAAGAAGCGCGGCAGCGGCATAAATGTGAAAGGCAGGCATACGCTGTCATAGTATGAAATTATCGGCAAAATCGCCTAAATGTGAAAGCTCTCTTATTGTCATAAGATTTTGATTTATTTCGATTATCTTGTCCCAAAACTAAGACCAATTAATACTGTGTCGCTTGGATAAGGCTTACATAAATATTTGCATATGAATACTATACATCGTATTGTCGTCTCCAAGTATAGTTTTATTGCTCATAGCACTAAAGTCCCCAGTTGGGTTGCAAAGTTGTACATAATCGTAGCGTAGCGTTATCCAGGCGAGGTAACAGTTTTTCACAAAAATATATTTCCGTAGGTAATTTTCTGAGATACCACCGCACCCACGATAAATGAAAACTTGAAAAAAAAACATACCAACCGAATTGAGAACCTCCTTCTTTTCTTGAAGTCGGTTAAAAATACTGAATACTGGTTACTAGGGTAATATAACAATGAAAATGGTAAAAAAATAACATTAAAAATTATATCGTAGTTGGCTGGAAACTCAAGTTATATATAATATAAACATATACATATATATATAAACGCGAATACCTAACGAGAATGCTAGCGAGGTTTAAGCGGGAAAGCGTAACAGACAGACAGACAGACAGACAGACAGACAGACAGAGTTACTTTCGCATTTATAATATTAGTTGGGATTATTTATATGTGAGTGTGAATCTATTCATTTTGTTAGCACCTGTACCTTTCAATTCGTAATATCATTAAACAGGGTTTTTTAATGACAGATTTATTTGAGGCTTCATTAGAAACGTTCTTCGGCCTGGGCCTGATAGTCGGACCTACACTTGGAGGAGCTCTGTACGGCCTGGGAGGCTACACGCTGCCGTTCGCAGTATTGGGCTCTGCGCTGTTCTGTGCTGCGCTCATGAGCTGCCTCGTTCTGCCGAGGGGCAACGACGATGAAGATGTCAAGCCTATAGGAGGACGTGAGTGTAGATTATTTTTCAGCATCAACATCATCATTTCAGCCATAGGACGTCCACTGCTGAACATAGGCCTCCCCCAATGATTTAAAAAAAATAAAAATCAAAAATATTTATTCAGTTTAGACCACAAGTGGCACTTATGAACGTAGGCAATAATAAAAAAACCGGCCAAGTGCGAGTCGGGCTCGCACACCGAGGGTTCCGCCGTACAAACGTAGCGGTTTAAAATTTATGACGTACTAGCTGACCCGGCGAACTTTGTTCCGCCTTAATGGCAATAAATAAGCAGACTTTTTTTTTAAATTTCGAACGGGATAAAAAGTATCCTATGTCCTTCTCCTGGCTCTAAACTACCTCCCTGACAATTTTCAGCTAAATCGGTTCAGCCGTTCTTGAGTTATAAGCGAAGTAACTAACACGACTTTCTTTTATATATATAGATAAGGGGCGAATACCTAACGAGAATGCCTTATTCGGACAGTAACTTCATAAGGTTACACATTCGACAGGAGAAAAAGCACATTTAAAAAATATGTACATAGTTTGAAAAAAACAGCTTACCTCTAAAGGATAAAACGGTGCTTGTAACGCAACACAAATCGCGTTACAAAAATCAGCTATAGATATTACAATGATCGTCAGCCATTGTCTTCTATTAAAATCGAAACCCATTTTTAAAAATCACAAAAAAATCCGTTAAACTGTCTCAAAATCACTTGAAGAACGTCTTTAATACTATTGCAACTAGGAACAATTACACACCCGACATTTTGGATTTTTTCTCAAAAAATATTTAAATACGAGTTAATATCCCAGTGGTTATCGAGGAACTGACTGAAGAAGCACTAGTTTCTGGATAACAGTCTAAATAATAAATTAATGGTCGCACATTGATATAATTACTGGTCAAACAGACCTTTGCAGCGATAAACAAATAAATACCGGTTCCATTTATAGTTATAATCAAATGTGCTTTTATCATAAATAAACAAAGCAATCAATGTATTTTGCAAGTTAATACTTGTCGTTACTAAAAAATTAAGATAAAACCGTAGTACGAAGACAGAAGAAGTAATGACCGCTAGGAAGATAAGTAAGACTAAAATATCTGCATGATAGCGAGGGGTTCTTTTTAATTCGTTAAAATTTAATTAAAATAAATAAAATGTATTTATTTATTTTAAAACTTTTTGGCATGCCTAACACTAAGTAAACCTTCCACGGGGTCTGAAATCACCAATGCTACGTCGTACCCTATTCTAGTATAGGGTACGACGTAGTACGTACACCCAATGAAATGGGATACAAGAAAAAGGGGCCTTGCTGAAGTAAGGTAGATCTTACTTTAACTTTAATAAACGTCAAAAATTTGTCAAACTCAAGACAAAAGCACTGGTTATGGTAATAGTTACCGTTAAAGTAAATTGGTGCAACTCAGCCTAAATCTTGTTAATGTTAAGATAAAGAACAAATTAATAGTAAATTTTGCACTTAACTAATTAGTTACAGTTTTAATGTCTGTATACCCATTGTTATTTTGTTAAAGTCGTTAGGCAATAATTAACTAATAAAATTGATATGTGGTTTGTGTTAAATTAATAAATCCCACCTAAAACAATTTTGATGTTACGTTTCCAAGACTAGACAGTAGGGCTAGGTCTGTCAAAAAGTTATTAAAACTCAAGTCAAGCTCCTATCTCTACAAGCTTTAATTATATTTACAAACCCTAACTTCACAAACTTGTATTAACTATTAGTAACAACTTGTATTTCATACCTGTGATATAACGAATAAATAAATTCTAATTCTAACTCTACACCTTCGTCAAAATACGTGGCTGGGCCGTTTTGCATAGAGTGATTTTTTCACTAAGTATTCGTAAATATTAACTGTTAAAGCTAGTTGTAGTTATAATATGCATAAGTCCGCTTACATCTTAATTGAGGATAAGATAAAAGGTAATTAGTATTATCTCCTACTAGGTGGACCGACGATCTGGTAAAGGTCGCGGGAAGAGCCTGGTTGCGGGCAGCGCAGGACCGTTCATTGTGGAAAACCTTGGGGGAGGCCTTTGTCCAGCAGTGGACGTCATTTGGCTGAAAAGAAAGAAAGAAAGAAGTATTATCTCATAAAATTTAAACTCTTGAACTTCAGAAGGTCATTGTCCCTAAATCAAAAACATTACAAAGATGGCTACATAATTAATATATTCAAGTGAAGGCAAAACAATACCTTGACCCCCTAGACCGGGATATGTCCCAGTAACGTTGTTAAATAAGCGATAACGCTATGGAACTATATTCGAGAATCGACAAGATGTAACTGACGTGAAATTAAGGACAACGATTCGATACGCAGCTGTGTTGGTAAGATTATGAGGTCGTGTGGTTTTAATAAAGTTTAGTTAAGGATTTCGATTTCTTCTCATTCCTCGATATAAAAAACCTACTCATTTAGATTTTCCTAGCTAGAGATATTTGTAATTTTAAGTTTCGTTCGTTCGTTTTAGCCTTAGACGTCCTAAGTACCTATTGCTGGACAAAGGCTTTCTCCAAGGATTTCCATAATCGACGTATTTTAAGTTTATGAATACAAAAGGCTCTTTTACATTTATGTATATCTCAAAATGTGGTTAAAATAACTGGACATTATGAATACCTATCTAAGCCTGGTGCCTGGTATCTTGAGAATGTTGGTATTTCGGCAGTTCAGTAAGAAGCCAGTTCCTCTGTGGTTGAGGATTCCGTGTGATGCTCGCTTCCCCCTTTGGTCTGATCATCACTTTTCAGTGAGATGCAGGCATTCTTCGTTTTGGATAAAAAAAACTAAATTATTATTCGTAATTGTAAAAAAATACAGTAAATGTAGCGAATTCTTAACTTTACTGTACTGTATTTTTAAGAACATGAACTTACACATACTCTGCATTCTGGAGATAAATTTATCTACTATAGAAGTGATCCTTGAACCTTAATTGTACATAACCATTAACCACACAGTCTACACATAATTAATTACTGTGCTACTCACGACTTAGTAAATCAATATTTAATTAATTACCTACCCACTTACTTCATATGACTTAACTGCTAATATTACTTCAACCACGAGTTTTACAAAAACATACATATGAAACGCATCTATATAAAATCATGTGATTGAAGCACATGTTGTTTAATTTTCTATCAATTAGAAATGTTTATGTAACATTGCTATCATCTACAAAGTAAAGTAGGTAAGTTTACTGAGAATAGACTTTCGGTACAGTTAAATGATTGAGCAAATAACCAAATCATTTAACCGACTTCAATAAGAGGAGGTTCTCAATTCGGTTGGTTTTTTGTATCGTTCGTTCGTTTCAGCCGAATGACGTCCACTGCTGGACAAAGGCCTCCTCCAAGGTTTTTCACAATGAACGGTCCTGCGCTGCACGCATCCAGGCTCTTCCCACGACCTTCACCAGATCGTTGGTCCACCTAGTAGAAGGCCTGCCCGAGTTTTTTGTATACTTTAGCTAAAACATGAGCAGCTGTCGCAATTTTACTTTCTTATTACCTAGATGACCCGGTGAACTTCGTATCACCTACATGGATTTCTTCTGTTTTCTCACCTTTTAAACCTTGGACTTGGACCTGGACTACGACAAACATTTCAAAACGAAAATCAGCTGAATATAATACATACCTACAAAATGCTGTTCTAGAGTTTTAGAGAGCCTAATGCACAGCAATGAATTCCATCACTTATAATCTGACGCAGTGAGATTACAAGATAAGTTAACCTAATCGACAGTTAGTTTACAATCTCACGCGTAATATTATAACCTAACAAAGTTCACAATAACCTACACGTTGACATATACATTATTATACATACATAGAAAATGGAAGAGCTACACCAACTTTACCTCCAGCTAGACTTACATTATACGAACTTCAGTAAAATTTAAACAATAATGTGTGATAGCAACTAGTGAATAGTAATACTACTACTTCTAAGGTCAACAAAGTCACGACGTGGTTTGCCTAAATTCTAAAAAACAATTACTTAAATAGCTTATTAATATTGCTAATAATAACGTAATCAAAAAATGGTGAATGAACTATATCATGATAACTATACTGTAGGTAGCTTTATAAGGAAAAAGCTGATGGAAACATAATCAAGAATTTGCTGTTAATGCTGAGAATATTTCTTTTGAATCAATTAATTATCTAACGGCTTTTTGTTAATCTTCGTATTAGGTTAATTTGGTTCTAGTTTGGGTGGGAGCCGGTAAATTTCCTTGAACTAGCTAAGGCTGAGTTGCACCACCTAACTTTGACCGAAACTATGACGATAACCGGTGTTTTTTGTATGAAGTTTGACATATTTTTGACGTTTGTCAAAGTTAAAATAAGATGGTGCAACCTAGCCTAAGACATCAGTCCCACATACTTTTCTGTTCTTACGTCATTAGAGTTTTTATTGAACGCTTGTGATGAGAAAAATAAAGTAGCATCAAATACTCGTAATATTAATAACCGTGTGGTTCCGGAATAGTAAAATAGGACCACCCCGATTCTTCCCGGTAAGAATAGAATAGATTAGAAAACCTTTTATTTGACAGTAATGAAGTGATTGAAAGAGAAACATGCGAACATCAGGCCTTCTCAAGCTGACTGGCCAGCGTGTGGCGGCAAAATCCTCCATTTGCCTCTGGTAAATTAAAAAGGATCTTTTTGCTGTGGAGATTAATGATCATGATGAGCTAATAATATTGCTCAATTGTCATTTTCATGGTTTACACCAGTTTTGAGTTTGAAGAAAGTCCGAGTATAATATAGCCACAGAGCCTTGTGACAGACTTGAGACAAACACTTGTAACAGAGTGCCCCACTTCTATCATATTATCATAGAATGTCATAGAAAAAGCTTCCAAAGGACAGGATATGTCACTCATATGTTATCAAACAAACCTAGACGAACAAGAGAAATTAATAGATCCTTTTCAATTGATAAGCAATGTGTTAGGTAGGCCCGTATCATGAGAAAGTGACCTGAGGTTTGGCTATGTGGGTAGCCCTATCACAGGGTAAAAGGGCACGTCATTCAATCATAGATGAGTATAGTCAGTGCCAATAGAAACTGTTGTAAATATGGTATGATAAAAATCGACTTCTATGTACATACCTAATATGGGATGAAATAACTTAGGTACACACTTTGTTGTGCTATTAAAAATTAGAATTAAAAAAATATTGTTAATGTTAGTAATAGGGTCCCGTTTTCACCTTTTGGGTACAGAACCCTAAAAAATAGGATGAAATAGGAAAACTAGTTTATTTATTTTATTTATTTATTTAGTAGGTACTCCAAAAGATAGCTGTCTTGGAAGATACTCAACTATCCCCCAGGACTATCCAATCTTCACTGGTTGGATTTCATTGGAGGCCAATCTGTGGATCGGAAAGTATGGTGGGAAAAGTCCCGTAACTATGCTCATTCTTATGTCGTCGCATCATCTGTTGGAGGGCAGATCATCTTATCTGTAAGTTCGTCAAGAACAATTCTTGGCGCCATAACTACGCAATATTTGATAACGCCCAGCAATCGCAGTTCATCGGGTCACTCGACTCGTGAAATATCAGACAAATTGGTTGGCTGTTATGACGTGTGATAACAATATTGTATACTACTACTTATACTAAGTGTAGAAAATGTACTGCGTATGTAGACAGTGGAATTTTCGAAATCAACACGGTTTACATTACTTATTACATTGCTAGGTAGAGCACTTTATAAGGTGAGTATATTTTATATCTTTATAGAGTCTTTCGTCATCGTAGTGCGCGCTCGCTAAAATAATATTTTGTATATCTGAAAGTGTTGTGAATGCTTATACTAAAACGTTTGTTTTTCTTTGTATAGAGAACAATAGTGTCTAGACAAACCTAAAAAGGATTTAGGACGCTATTTGGATCAAATATGTAATTGCTCAATAATGAATAATAAATAAAAAATAAAAAATGTATTATAAACTAAAGCATTTGCTTTATAAAGTGCACCTTGTAAAGTGCGCTACAAGTAAATACTTGTAACAAAACAACAAGCCGCTCTATGATATGTTCAGTGTGTCCCTTTCACGAACCAAACGTCGGTACATTATGTTCGTTCATTCGTTCGTTTCAGCCGAACGACGTCCACTGCTGGACAAAGGCCTCCCCCAAGGATTTCCACAACGACCGGTCCTGCGCCGCCCGCATCCAGGCACCTCCCGCGACCTTCACAAGATCGTCGGTCCACCTAGTGGGAGGCCTGCCCACACTACGTCTTCCGGCCCATTTTACACCACCCATTTTATGTACCATGGCACTATTCGTATGAACGTTACATTATACAGGGTGTGGTTTTGTAAAACAACACCCATCTCAGGGGTGTTAGTACACATGAAAATAATTACAAGAAAGTTATAAAAAATATTTAACTATTACTTTATTAGTTAAAAACCTTGTTCAAACTTATCCTAAAACTTTCGAGACGCGCTTGTTATCTACCGTCCGCCAAAACCATTTCCAGTAGGCCAAGATGCGCGCCGTGATGACTTTTATCGACTTCAAAATGTATGGGCGAAATCGATAAAATGGCGTGATAACCGCTTATCGCAGCGCGGATCTTAGGCCTACTGGATTTTTCGGCGAAAATTAAAGGTATTTTTTTGGCATCAGTGTCGTATATACTACCACCCCTGAGATGGGTCTTGCTGTACAAAACCACACCCTGTATAGAAATGCTCTAGTCTATACTCACCGATAGATCTAACATGGATCGCTTCACGTAGCGAAGTGAATTTATGTTATAAAATAGCACTTATTGCGATTGCATAAGACACCAGTGTCGTGACTGCATACGATATCAGTTGAGTGTCGTCTGTACACTAAAGAGACGTAGCGAAACGATTACGAAAGTGAATCTGTTACGAATGTTACATAGTGGCCTTGACATTATACATAATATAGTCACTATATTGGTTATCTATCAATATTGTTCCATATTGCTACTGCTGTTCACAGGTTCACTTGACAACAGAGTCTTCCCAAGGATTTATTTCCACTACTGTTGCTGTACATATCCAGGTTTGACACACCAACTGACCGGTTAAAAAGTTTTGTCTCGTCCTAGAAAACTTTTACTAACAATTTTGTTAAAAAAAATCACATGAAAGAAGAAAACGATTGCATTGAAAAGTCGGATCAGAGCTACCTCAGATCAAAGATCAAAAATGTTATGAATGTTCTGTTCTTGCTTTTCTCTAATCTCTACGAGAGCTGAGGAGATAGAGGGAAGCGACTATGATCTCGAATTGAAATGGATTGCCATATGTTCTACACATACGGTTTTGTAACCCAAAAACTATTTTTTTAAGGTAGCAGGGAAGCGCTGGACGCAGGCCGCTACCAATCGATCAACATGGAAAGCATTGGGGGAGGCCTATGTTCAGCAGTGGACGTCCTGTGGCTGAAATGATGATGATGATGATGAACTATTTTTGAAGAATAATAGTCCCGTTAACCCCTTGTAAGCTAAAGCTTGTGTCACGTATAGATTCACCACAATAGTCCAGCGGCGCCAGAGTTCGAACCTGCATTCCTCGGATCTCGGCCAGTCCGAAACGACACCATTGATAGCTTTAGAAGAAGCCATACATAGCTTAACGCATTGCAATCCGTTTTCTGTTGTCACAACTGGTTTATTGTGAGAAAATTACTATTCTCGACAGCCCAGATATGTCCCACTTTAATGTTATGTTAATTAATATCGTTGTCTATTGTTGAAATAGAGGTAGGTAGTTAAAATACTCTACACCATTTCGCAAGTTTAAAGCCTGTAGATCCCAATCTTTTGATAATTTAAACGTTCCAGTGTAATTTGCCTCAGCTTTTTCAGACCTAGCAACAATCCTTAGTTTCAGAGATTAAATTGAGTTGGTAACCAAATGAGCCAAAGATTGGCCATGAATTTGAATAATGCGATAATTTAATGCATTTATTTACCTAGTTCGCTTTTTGGGATAAAAAATTTCCTGCCCTGGGAATTTAACCCAGAATCTTCGAGTAGAATCTTAATATCACACGGTAATTCACACCACTGAACCACGGAGGCATGATCGGGTACCCAAGCAATTATTTCAGCCATGTCAAAAACACAGGGATACGACGTTTCGTTGGCCAACTTGTCCTCAATGTTCCGGCAGTTGCATGCCTTACACGACATGACATAACAAATGACCACCAGATTAACGCAAATGCCATGAAATCTGATGGACACAATTATGTCCTACGGTGCCCCATCCAACCACGTGGCGTTAGTAAATAGACCAGAGGTGGGGAGTCAAGGGATGACGAAAATTGTAGGAGAATAAAACTCATCGGCAGTCGCTTTCACTTCAAACAAAATGAGACACGCGCTCGTCCGGCCGACCGAACTCGCGGCTATTGCCCACTGAGCCCACGGTGCTGTGGACGCGGCTTAATTTAAAATACGAACGATTTTCAAATTCAAAATTTTTTCTTCTTCTATATTAGTGACCTACGTTCTGTGCAACAAAGAATGGATTGTTAATTAGAAAAAAAAGAAATAAAGTTAGACCTCTTTGGATAAAATTCTTTTTGGATTTTTTTTTCAATTTTGGAACCATGATGGCTGGCAAATGCGTAACGTCGTTCCTCGTCTTGTGCTTAGCTGTTATCTGCCACAATGGAGAAGCCGCGGAAAGTGAAAACTCTCTTACGATACGTAAGTAAAGCATTGTATTAATTAATAGAGTATGAAAATCTTCGAAAATTATTTCTTACAAGAAAAATAATTATTTGATTAAAATGATATAGCTTTTCTCAAACTAAACTAGAGAATGACCTAAAATGTAGGATTATGAGATTGAAGACTTGAAGTTTTTGAAGACATTAGTTTAAAGACGCTATCTATTACACACTACACCAGTTATAAAACTTAACAGTAAGTATTTATCACAATTGACTGCTAAAAACTTACATGCACTTTAACTTACAAATGACACCCGTGCAAATGACCTATACTCTTGCAAATTACAGAGACAAAAATTACAAAATTACATGTAATATCGTGTCATAATATCACAAATGTCAAGTTATTCATATTTAAAGCTATCCCACCTGATTGTGCATGTGCTTATTTTATTTAAAAGAGATGTAGTTGAGAAACATCCAATGGCCGGCGATCTAACATTTGTTGTGTCGAAATCCGTTGAGCAAGCGTTGGGCAAGCTCGACCTTAGCTATAACTTCTATTGTAGCATTTCACTAACTCTTTTGTTATTTGGGATGAAGCTAACTTTATGGCTAATGACTCATCGCTATACTTAGCTTTCTTGTGACAAGAAACAAGCACACCATCAGTAACAGACATGACATAAATATGAAAAAGTCATTTCTTTAATTGAAATTAAACCTTATTTTCTTAAATACGGGGTTAAGGGTTAATTGGCTAGTTAAGGCGTTCACTGTTACCTGAAAAATTACCACTACCAATTATTACTATACAATAATACAAAGTCATAGGATAAGCAAGACTTTCCCATTTTCTCTATTTAAGTTAGTAGTCTGTTGTCATTAATTATTAAAATCAATACAATCTGTTCAGATGGAGTCTTAACTTACTTCTTTAATTTTTAACTAAAACATTATTTAAACAACGCCAACGAGATTGAATATTAAGTTAGAAAACAATATTACCCATACAGACTTACTCGTACTTATTTACTTCTCACTGAAAAAACAAAGGTTACTTACCTTTCTGTTTACGATTTGTTTTCTGTCATAATAATGGACAGTAGTAGTAAGTAGTCATTATTTTTGGCAATCGAAAACAATGTCTGGTGCAAGTTATGGCAGAGACAAAGAATTGTTATCTTTTAATCTTTGGCACAGACAATACAAACATCTTTACAACCAAATTCATCACCCACTAGTCAATATTTATGTCCCGAAATGGTGGTGAGGCACGCTATATTTTAGACGTTAGGTGTACTAAAATGGCTCAATATATTCATAGAAACTTGAATTTGACCTATCCGAAAAGTATTTGCGTTCAATAAAAAAAATCTGGACGTTAAAAAAGCGCACCAAAAAATTGTGTTAAATACTGGTTTTTATGCCACTTAGTTCCACTGTTGCTCAAACTGTCAAGACATGGCATTGAACTAGACCTCTTAAGCCCTAGTTTTTGGTGCTATCTAAAACTTCAAATGGTCAGTTATGAAACAGTTGTAAACTGTATTAAAACTAGCTGTCCCCGCTACTTCTTACGCGTGATTAATCCTTAGGTATCACCTAAGGGTATGAAACATAGTTTACGTCCTATTCTCAGACCTATTAGGAAGCTACTACTGAATATACCCAAAAATTCCATAAGAATCGGTCCAGCCGTTTCCAAGGAATATGGCAACTAACACTGTGATGCGAGAATTTTTCTCGATCTTCATTTTAATTTAAGTCTTAAAGTTTGTAAGCGCTAAAAAGATTTAAGAATTCACGTCAGTTTTGATTCAATTTCAACGATTTAATAATTCAAAGAAAAAGAAATGTTTTGCTTTGAATTTGAATTTAACATAATTAGAAATGGGTAAACTTTTTGTGAAAAGTGTGCTTAGTGTGAGTTTGCATTGAACGTTGTCATGTCGAGTGTGTAAAAAAAATATAAGATTTTAGCTATTGAAAGTATTCGCTAGAGACGCTGCCTGTATAATCTGTTACATTTAATGCAATTTTTTACGCAGTCGCTAGTAAAGACGTTTGGTGTAGACTCGCACTAAGCACCCTGTATACTCAAAAAATGCAAGGCTCTATGAACAAGGGCAAAATCATGGCAATACGCAATATAGTTAAAATTATGACAGTACGTCATTAGGCGAGAATTCCCACCTTAATCTCTTGTTTTGTCACCACTGGGTCAAACATCCTGTGATGACCATAATTGGTCAGTCAATTTTCCGTTGTCATAACGAGAAAAATCTCATTTAGGTGAAGGCTTTAAGTTCCGTTGACGACACAAAAACCAACAGTTTAAATACCATCATGCTTTTGTATAGTGTTGTTTTAAAGGAATATTGTTTGCAAGCTCACGGTTGCCATTATTGACTGAGTGCCATCGGTTCACGTTATGGAAATTATTGTTTGAACACGAAATATTGTTTTTTAACCAGCTTTTATTCAGTTTTATTGATATGTATTAAACCTATTATTGTTATAGTTATACGTAGCTAATATGTAGTTTACTTGCTTTAGATACTACATAGTTAATACTTAATAGAAATGAAAAACAAAAATAACTATAGATTTAAATATTATTTAACGTAAGCTATAATAAGTAGTTAAACAAAATTACTGATCCACCGAAATGTACTTATCTTGGTCGCATGAGACCACAGTTCTATCCATATCTGTGCATGAGACCGTGGTAACAATTGATTTCTATTATGTTCTATTTCTATTCGCTGATACTTGAAGAGTTAAATTAGAATTTTATTTTTTTAACTAATGAAAACTCAAGTGACTAATCACTAAATTCAGTTTTACACAGTAACTAATTTTAAAATGCGTTCTAAATGGTTGTTCTCTATCTCAAGCATTCTTACACAACATGGTGTAATTAACTCCGTTATATAACTATTGCCTCAATGCAAGCCGTATAAACTAAGGGTTGCAGTAACCGTGGTGTAGAGCTAGAAGTTTGAATTCATTTCACAACTGCATTAGTCTGCAGTTTCATGAGATATGTTTCTTAAAGTCTCAAGGAAGTGTGACACACGTAATACACAATAATATCAAGGTGTACTCAAAACAACATATGAAACTTGTGTCCGTTTTCTACATCAATCCCTAATTTTTAAGTGATCCCTATGGTAACACATAACAGGAATTTTGTTTTCATAGCGATCACTTAAAAATTAGGCATGGATGGTGAAAACGGGCATTAACCTATCAATCCCTAAGCAGTCGCGATTGTTTTCATTCGTGAAGCTTGAAGGGCTAATACTTTGAGGTCATATTTTAGCAATACGTAATAAGTAGTGATTTTGCAAAAAAAAATGTAAAGCCTGATTTGCTTATAAAGATTGCGGGAAGGCACTGGATGCAGGCTACCAAAACCGGCCAATCTGGATATCATTGAGGAGGCCTATGTTCAGCAGTGGACGTCCTGTGACTGATATGATGATGATGGTGATGTGCAGTCAACAGTACTCCAGACTATTTCGTTGCAAAATATTCGTTCGTTCGTTCGTTTCAGCCAAATGACGTCCACTGCTGGACAAAGGCCTCCTCCAAGGTTTTCCACAATGCACGGTCCTGCGCTGCCCGCATCCAGGCTCTTCCCGCGACCTTTACGAGATCGTCGGTCCACCTAGTAGGAGGCCTGCCCACGCTACGTCTTCCAGCCCGTGGTCGCCACTCGAGAACTTTTCTGCCCCAACGGCCATCGTCTCTACGAGCTATGTGCCCCGCCCACTGCCACTTGGTTTTAGCAATTCTGCGAGCTATGTCGGTCAAAATGCAAAATATTAGCTTCATAGAACTGTCGTCTGTGTATTCGCGAGAGCAATTGACAGAAAACAATATCCTATAACTTGTTATTATTTATTTTCAACCACATAAAAATAGTACAATAGACAGATTAAGGTGTCCTTGAGTTTAACAATGGTTCAATGTGTTGTTCCAAATACCTGCCATTGACTGTACTTATTCGGAAGAGACTTACAATCCCGGCCTTGTATGTCTATTTTAATTGGTCCTATAATTTTAAATGGGCAGGATACGTGAGATGCATGTGAAGGTATTGGGACATTCACATGACACGTCGAATCGTTGAGTCAGCTGCCGACTTACCTTGATTATTTGGATTAGGTACTATTTATTTATTTATTTATGAATAGAACGGTAGTACCAATTACACTATTCAAACAAGTAACAGAGTTCAGACTGTTCAAACTGTTGATTCCTTGTTAATAGAATAAATTGCAATGATTTTATTTGACATCAATTATATCATTTTTTTAAATGCTAAAAAGTGGCATCATAAAAAAATGCTAAATCAGAATATAATAGCAAAAACACTCGGGACTCTTATATGCATATTCCGAAACAAATTTTCATCGAATTTAAACGATGAAGAGCTCATAAGAGCTTTTTAGAAGCCATGTTATAAGTATCATAAAACAATAAGGCAAACATTTAGTTTTGAAATGACTTCAAATCAAATCAAAAATATTCATTGATTGAGCATAAGTTGAACCTCTTTTGCGGAGGGAACAGGCTGGCTTCCGCCCGAACCGCTCGTGCACCGACCAGATCAATACTTTGCGTATCATTTTGGAGCAGGCATCAGAATGGCAAAGGGAAGTCTACCTAACCTTTGTAGACTTTGAAAAAGCCTTTGATACGCTGAAGTGGGCAAGTATATGGTCGCGACTCGCTGACATTGGTGTCCCGCCGAAAATCATCGACCTACTGAAGGCCATCTACAGGAAATATTCTTGTACGGTGACTCACGACGGCCTCATCTCCGAAGACATCGAGGTGCATGCGGGCGTCCGGCAAGGCTGCCTGCTTTCGCCCCTTCTCTTTCTGGTTGTCTTGGATGGAGTCATGAATCGCGCATATCAAGACCAACGGCGTGGAATAGAGTGGGGTATAATCGGAGTCTTAGAAGACTTAGATTATGCCGATGACCTCTGTTTGCTGAGCCACACGCATCACGATATG